CCTACCACAGGGGTTTTCTGCGAGACCATGTACCGTGTGATTTTCCAATAACCGTGTGTATGCGCCTTGAGCCCCAGCTGAAACTGCTGTCACACAGCCTCTCCTTTCTGCCCCCTTTTCTCTTTTACTTTTTCTTTTTTTTTCTGAGAGAGGGTTTCTTGGGGTAGCCTTGGCTATCCTGGAACTCACTCTGTATACCAGGCTGCCCTCGAACTCAGAGAGATCCGCCTGCCTCTGCCTCCCAAGTGTTTGGATTAAAGGCGTGCGCCACCACCGCCTGGCTCACCCCCTTTACATGTTCGCCTCTAAATCTCTTAGTTTTCTCAAGGTGTTGTTTAAGAACTTTATTGTTTTAAAACCTTGCAGATAAAAACATCACACACCATAATTAACCAGACCCAGAGTCTATGACTTAGTGAGCTCATATACAATTAGAATTGCCATTCAGAACAGAAGCTGTGAGTCCTCACATTAAATTTTACACTCTCAGTATTGAATATATTTTATGTACTTGTCTACCATCCAAAACAACAACAACAACAAGCCATGATTGAATTATAACTGGAAAAACAATTGGGTTTATATCCACTTTCGCAACTCGTGTCCATTGCCTGCCTGCAGTCCTTCCTCATCCTCTTATATTTAGCCTTTCTTGTTCTCGTCTCATGTTATACTGCACCATAGGTACATCTCTTTATGCATATGCATATATTATTGACTAAATCCTGCATATGGAAATACGTGGTTTATTTCTTTCTGAGCTTGTGTGATCTCACTTCGTATTACACATTCCAAGTCCACCCATTTTCCTGAAACTTTTGAACTACATTTTTTTTCTTTAATGCTGTATTCCGCTGCATACATAATGGAATATATATACCAGATTTTCATTATCTGTGCATCTGTTTGTGGAAACCAGGTCTACAACTACTACAGAAATTCTCTAGAGTGGGGCATGGAGTGTCTCTGGGTAAATATATATACCCAGGAGTGAAACAGCTGGGTCTATTTTAATAGAAATAGTAGTTCTATTTTTTAATTTTTTGAGTAGTCTCCAGATTTCCATAATGTCTGTATTAATTTGCACTCTTACCAATAGTGCATAAGGGTTCCTTTTCTCGCCACATCCTCTTCTACCTTCATTTTTCTTTTCTGATTTCTCGATGATAGTCATTCTGACTGGGGCGAAGTAGTATCTCAGAGTAGCTTTAATTTGGATTTCCCTGGTGACTTGGGGCATTACACACTTTTAAAAATAGCTATTGGCCATTTGTGTTTCTCTTTTTCCTTTGAAAGCTGTCTGTTCAGTTCTTTGGCCCATTTGCTGTGGGCAGTTTTATTCCCTCGGTATCTAACTTCTGCAATTCTTTGTCAATGTTGACTGTTTGCCCCTGGCCTGAAGCGCAGCTGGTAGAACTTTGGTTGCTCCTGACCTGTGCTCTGTTGACCCTGCCTGCTGTGTGCTGTGCTGTGCTGTGCTGTGCTGTGCTGTGCTGTGCTGTTTGAACACTCCGTGCCTACCCCATTACCTTGTTTTCGAAAAGTTCCCTAAAAGTTTCAGAGTTTGGGGTTTAAAGTTAAGGTCTCTGATCCACTTTAAATTGATGGTGTACAAGGGAAGAGATACAAATCTAACCCCGTTCTTCTGCAGACAAGAACCCCGGCTGTGCTAGCCCCATTTGTTAAGCGTGCTGTCCTTCTTCCCGGAGTAGGATTTTTGCCTCCTTTGTCAAAAATTAAGTGGGCATCTTCAGGGCTTTTAAACAGTGGTGCCCGTGATGTAACTAATGAACTAAACTATGAGGAACAGAAGCTCCGAGTGCCTTTCTGCAGTGCCTCCTGCTCTCCGCGGTCATGGCTGGGTAGCCGTTCTGTAGGAACCAATTCAGCTCTCAGCGAGCATGCCAGATCCCAGCAGAGCCACCACTGGTGCCCTGAGTCAATGAAGCTTGTGGCCTTTCCTCTGTAACTAGCCTTACCTTCCCCAAATGCCTCTTCCTCTTGTGTCCTACTGATCTGTCCAGCTGCTGTGGATGCTGAGCGAATGACAGCCCTTGGTCTTCCAACTGTAATGTTGGGTAACAATGAAACTCCAGAAAGTTATCCTATATGAAGATACTGTCACTATTTGAAACAATAGTGTATAGTCCCAAAGAGGACAACAGCAAACTTTTTGTGCCTCCAGGCGTGACCTGTGTTTTCCTGATGAGGATTTATGGATCTTCCCCTTGGCACCATTCCTGTATTTCAGTGACCTTGGTTAAAAGTACAGCTGCTGCCTGGAGTCTGTGGTTCAACCATTAATGGTTAATTCCAAGGCAGGAAGAACAAATATAACACTTGCCAGGTGCCGGTAACTGAACTCAGTGTATTGACTCTTGAGCCCCACAACCTTTCAAGAAAAGCTCTATCTCCCCCCACCCCCAAAGAGGAAATCTGTAGGTATGTAATTTAGCTTTCTGTCGCTGTGGCACAGATAGTCAGCTTGCAAGGGAAAAGGGTTCGTCTTGGTTCACGTCCAGATAGTTTCATCCATGGTGAGTCAGCCTTGCTCTGTCTGAAAGCACATAGTATGTAATGATGCAGGCACTAGGCAGGGGGTCTGGAGTCCCTGTATCTCTTCAAAGGCATGCCCCCGTGACCTAACTTCCATCCTAAAGTGTCCATCATGCCTGCTTACTGACCCCACCTCACAGTGCTATGCCCTATCAGAAGTGGGAGACCGAAGTGTCCCACCATTAATGGAGACCTCTCTCTCCCTTCAGTTCCGTCAATTCGGGCATCGTATATTCTGTAGGCCTTGTTTCTAATTGTGCTTCCGTCTGTAATTGTTCACGATGAGTTGAAACTTTTATCAAATGTCTTTGTCTCCAGAAATGACATAAATTTTCCTCTGTCCTTGAAGGAAATTTTATCAGATATAAAATTCTCATGTTCCATCCTGTCCTCGTACCCCACCCCCCGTTTAGTGATGTCATCCTATTGCTTCCGAAAGTCCCCTGCATCTGATGAAAGATCAATGGCTAATCTCATTTCAGGATATCTATGACACACGCATTTCTCTATTATTCTAAGATTCCCTGCCTTGGGGCTTTGACAAATTGTATGTCTCAGGGTGTGGGTTTATCCTGTTAAAGTTCAATGAGCTTGGATGCACTCATACATGCATACTGTTCATTGGGTTTGGGATGAGTTTAGTATACATACATACTGCCCATTGGATTTGGGATGGATTTAGTAGACATACATACTGCCCATTGGATTTGGGATGGGATTAGTATACATACATACTGCCCATCAGATTTGGGATGGATTAGTATACATACATAATGCCCATTGGATTTGGGATGGGTTTAGTAAATGTTCTTCTGCCCCTCTTCCTCCTCATTCATTTTTGGGACTTCTATAGTATGTATGTTGATACTTTGCTTCCTGGACCCTTGAGCTGTTTGTTTTCCATCAGGGTCTTGTTTTCCAACATAGTCCAGGTTAACCTCAAACTTGCTATGTAACCGGGACTTTGAAGCCTGGTCCTCCTGCCTCCACTTTCCAAGTGCCGGGGTTATAGGGTGAGCAGCACTGCACCTGGCCCTAGCGTTCTCACTCATTCTTTCTCTTTGTAGACTTGGTCACCTCAACACTATTCTCTCCTAGCTCACTGAGTCTCCTGCCTACCTTCCCAAGTCTGCTGTGGAACTCCTTTAGTGAATTTCATTTTGGTTATTGTACTTTTCTTAAAATATCCTTCAGAGAGGAGAAGGGAAGAGGATTTGTTGTTTTAAATATTCCAATTGATGCCACTAAGACCACTGTACCCCAAGAAAAACTTTATCTGACAATTATCCATGTTAGATCCCACCAGATGAACCAAAGTGCACAATCTCAAACTTTAGAGGTCAAAATCCCACTGCTTTCCCTGGCACCCCCAACTACCCCAGGACTTGAGGCTGAAGAATGGGGCATATGAGCAGGTTCAGCTGCGCGCTCACAGAGATCAGCCTCTCTCTTCATCAAACAGGGTTATAATGGTCTCTAAGTGGGTCCCAGAATTTGAAATAGTTAACAAGGGTCACTCTTTAAGGCTCAGTAATTGTTTCAGTGAGGGGGCTAACCCCGAGACTTCCTGCCTTGGCAATTTCCATGATGGGGGCTCCAACAACCCTTTCACAGGGTTGACCTAAGACCATTGAAAAACACAGATATTTTACATTATGATTCGTAACAGTAGCAAAATTACAGCTATAAAGTAGCAATGAAATAATTTTATGGGGGAGGGGAATCACCACAACATGAGGACCTGCATTGAAGGTTTGCACCATTAGGAAGGTTGAGAACCTGATTCATGAACCATGCCATGACAGTCTCCCATTGGATTTGCACTTAAGCCATAGTTTCGCCTTCTCCCTTAGCTGGAAGCATTAAAATAACTCTAGAACAGGGAACATGTTTAACCATCTCATCTCCAACAACGTGAACTAGGGTTTGTCTCCACTCCATGCTTCAGGGACATAGAAAGACCACATTCTCCTGATCCTGCACGCCTTCTAGATCATCTCAGAAATCTGCCTGTGCACCATGCCCACTAAGTTTGGTGAAGTTACTTGAACTTTTCAGGTTGTGCTAAATACTTACATGATCTTATTCTCTCCCCCCAGGCCCAACTACAAGAGAGGAATGACCCTCAGCAGCTCCTGCTGGACTCCAAACACATGTTTCCTGTTCTCTTTCCATTTAATCCGTCTTCTCTGACCATGGACTCAATCCACATCCCAGCATGCCTCAACCTGGAGTTTCTCAATGAAGTCTGAGGATGCGTGCTTCCAAGGCAAACAAGGAAGCACATGCAGTCAGCTGAGAGAATTCTAGATCAATATGCCCAAAGTAGATCAAACCAGAGTTAGAGAACCCGTGGAGAGTACCGAACCAAACGAAGTGACGCACACTGTCATTAGTTTTTGTATATGCTGCTCAGAATAAAAACACTTGAATGTGGAAGGCTGTTAGAGGTTTGACTTGAGTTTAAACAAAGGCATGTCAAAATGAACAGCGCCACATAGCTCCAGTTGTCAGTTCCAGAGCAGAAGTGCCTAGCTGCTATCTCTGTGTGTAACTGGAGGATGTCCAAGTTAAGATAATATTAAAAATAATGACGTAAATTGCCTTCGCGGGTCTTTCAACAAATAATGATACCAATACCATAAACATGATGGATATTGATAAACCAAAGGGGTGTGTGCGCTTGTAGTGAGAGTTTTAAGAATAGCATGGGCCTGGGCCTCCATGGACACTTCCCCAAAGTATTCCCTAACGCCGGTGACGGTACCATTGGCCTCCAGACCAAAGTCGTGTAGATTGTTTCAGCAAATTGGATGATGTGGACCCTGGTATGCTTGAGTTTTTGTGAGTCTCGGGTTATGGGAGAGCCGCTAGCCATGCTGCCGTCACAAGGGCCACGTGTGAGAAAGGTGGAGTACAGTCTCCAGTGCCAGTCAGTGCCCTGAGACCAGCAAAGCCTCCGCAACACTGTAAATATGAAAAAATGGTAGGTGAGAATGGATAACATTTATCTGCAGGCCTAAAAACCGAACCAGTGTGAAAGCTTTTTAACTCCCCAATGTCGCTGAACCTTCGACCAGGTCTTCACAGCGCTTTGTGGATCCCAAAATCACAAGGGAAACAGACTCCAGTTCCAGAACCCAATTGTCTGAAAAGTCTCTGGAGGAGAAAGCGTGGTCACTAAGTTATTGTCCAAAGATTTATGGCTTTTTTAAAAACTGCTCTGAAAGACTACAATAGCTTAGGACCAACTTTCCCTTCTCAAGTTATTTTCAACATTTTTTTTCAAACTTTAAAAATCCATGTAAATATTTTACTATGTAAGATTTAAAAGACTATTTAGTAATAATGGAACAGGCTTATGTACTCGCTGCTCTTAGAATTTTGTTTTGCTCTGTGGGGTACTTTTTAGGACTCGAGAACAAAGGTTTGGTTGGACAACCTATAAATTCTTTCTACCCATTTTTATAATCAGTGTTTATTAAGTGTGTGCTGTCCCTATGAGAGCAGCAGGTTGTTTGCAAATCGTACAAGAGCCTCATTATCACACTGAGATTTCTCCATACTTGAGAAGATCTCCCAGAGTGTTGCCCAGTTTAGAAGGTTCTTCTGAATACAGTAGACTCCAAGCCCTAAAATCCTGAGCTTCCCAGTCGTCCTTGCCTGCTGGGGCCAGAACAACAAGCAGCACCTGGCTTGACTAAATCTGACGACAACAAATGCATTGTGATCTGCATCATCCCTTCTGTGCCCACGATACACACCACAGCTGCTCTTGGGGGGTCTCTCTCCAAGAGCAGTACAGCCCCCCTCCTCAGTTACAGCCCCTGACATGTCTGTACCACACCTTTCAACCCCCAAATGCAAATTGTTTGGAAAGCCAGGAAAAAAAAAACCTGGATCTGTGGCTACCTCTTTAAAGTTATTAATGAAAATAATTTACTTTTTTAGTACACTTTAGTGTTCAAATGAACTTGTGTAAAGACCCTTAAGAACACCAAAAATGCCTTGTTAAGCATTTAACAAGGAGGTGGCATCTTCCCAAATGTGGCTCTGAGCCCATACACGGTTTAAAGCCATCACCCCCCCCCCCCCCCCACATCCTACCCCCTATGTGGGTTACTACTCTCGTGTTCCTGGTTGGTCAGGAGGTACAAAGGTTCACTAAATAAAAGCTTAGGAATTAGCCAGATGGAGGGAGGGGTTAACTAACCCTCTCCACAGCCTAAGAAACAACAGCTTCAGTTCTTCCAGAAGACCAGGGTTTCCGCTGGAGCTGTGCTTAACAAGACAGTGGTTGCTGGGTCTTTACATCCTCCCTGTTTCACTGCAGACCTGGAGGGTGAACGGGACCTTGTGAGAAACTCTAAGCATTTTTTTTAACATTTTTTTTCTGTGTACTTTTTCCCCCCGGTGCAGGGGAATGAACCCAGGTCCTCAGGCGTATCAGGCGAGCACTCTACCCCTGAGCCTCCCTCGGCAGTGGGTTCCCTTCCCCTTTTAAAGCTCATTTTAAGAACTTGCCAACTTCATGAAATCAACAATATCTTTTACTTTAAATAAATGCAACACAAGTTTGAACTCTTCTCTAGTATATCAGCTTCTGAGTAGTTACAATTCCACCACGTTCCTTTAGCAGTTGCTGAAATAACTGACTTCCCGCTCGTTCCCTGAAGGAGTCGCTGTCGGAAGAACTTAATGTTCCTGTGGGCTTCTGATTCATCCCATGAAGCAAGCACCTTCAAAACGAACCCACATCCACACGTCCACCATTTGTGTTTCCAGCATTAGCACTGGGGTACTACCCACTTCCTAGAGTATGGGCGTGTTTCCACATACATTAGTCGCCACGGAAGCAGACAAGGATGTTATCTGTGCGCATCCTCCCCAGGCCATCCCAGCTGCAGTTAGAGGGTCAGCATCCGTAGGCTCACTTCGCAGACCCAACGGTAGGCTTTCCCCCCCTTTCCATGGAGCACATCATTAGAGCAGTTTCCTCTGATTTTCCTTAGGATAAAATGTCAAGGTTCTTGTGAAAACGAGGAGTTTAGAGAACGTAGGTTCCTAAAATCTACCACTAATTTGACTATTAGAGCCCTAATGAATGCATTGAGGACTAAGGCAACAAACTGAAATCCAGTTCTTTTGCATAAATTGACTACTTCCCAAACACTTGACCACTATGAATGAGTGGGTGCTAAACGTGCTAGCGCTGGGCCTCTCATTTCCTTATAGCATTTGCCATTGACTCCTAACATTGACTCGCTAGATGAGTCAAGTAACCAAAGCTTCACTTTTTACACATTGGTCCCATATTCACAGAATGACAGAGGGTAAAAAATTAGAGGTTACTGCCAATGAAAAGATTTTTTTTCTTATGGACTTTTTCTGTTTTTTTTTTTAATAAGATTTGGGACAGCAAGATGGCTCAGTAGGTAAGAGTGCTTACCACGGAAGCTGACAGACAACCTGTGTTCAGTCCCCAGGGCCCACAGTAAAAGGTCTTTTGACTCACACACACACACACACGAGCCACGGCGCATGTCTGCCCTCACACACACTATAACAAAATACATTCTAACCAAGGGAATCAACAAGATGGGATCAGGCTACTGCCTGAAAGCACACTGTTAAGAAGAAGCCAATCGGATGTGACATTTCGCGATCAACTGGCATTGAGATAAAGGCCTGCCTCTCTGAGGGAGTTCACAGAATATTCAGGGGTAAATCTAACACTGCAGAAGAAATGCTACTGAAAAAAATATATTTTCCATTTTGGATAAGTCTGTAAACTACAGCTTTGTTATAGGAAAAAAATGCTTATAATGGTTGCTGTTAATTATTCAGCTGTGGATAAAAATTTGTGGAAATAAATACTTTTGAATAAAGTGTGTGCCAAATCTGAGCAAAATTTAAAATGACAGGCTGAGTAAAAGCAGTATTGGCTATAGTCTATTTTATTAAAGATTTGTATGCATGTGTATATGCATATGTACCTGGAGAAGTGTGCGCACATATGTGGGGTGTATGTACTTGCGGTCGCAATCATCCTGTCTCATCCCTGAACCTGCAGCTCTGTTTCCTCTGATAGACTGGAAGAACACAAGCCCCAATGACTCTTCTTGCTTATGTTTGCTGCTTGTTAGGTGGGCACCAGAAACTGAAGTCTGGTTCTTGTGATTTTTGAACAAGTGCTTTTAACCTGAGCCATCTCTCTAGCCTCCTCATGATGTGTGTGTGTGTGTGTGTGTGTGTGTGTGTGTACACCTACCCATGCAAGTTCATGTGAGGGGCCAGGAAAGGATGCTCAGTACCTTCCTCTAACACTATCTACTTTATTCCATTAAGACAAGGTTTCTTATCTTGTTCTTGGGAAGTGTACTTTCAGGGCTAGGCAGCAAGCTGTCAATATCCACTCATCTCTGCCCCAATACTAGAGTTATAAATATGGCTGTGCACCCAGCTTTTTGTGTGATATGGATTTGAACTCAGGTCCTCCTACTCACACAGCAGACGCTCTTATCCAGAGCCATCTCCCTGGTTCCTTTTTTTTTTTCTTTTTGATTCTCTGTGTAGCTTTGGAGCCTGTCCTGACACTAGCTCTTGTAGACCAGGCTGGTCTCGAACTCACAGAGATCCGCCTGCCTCTGCCTCCTGAGTGCTGGGATTAAAGGCATGTGCCACCACTGCCTGGCTCCCTAGCCCCTATTTTTAATGTTTCCTTGAGAAATTTTATTCTGGGGCATAGATTCAGTTATACATGATTGTTTATGTCAATACATAGCCACCTGTATTGGAGATGGGAGAGGGCTTGCTCCAGAACAGCAGATCATGACCCCATTATAGGTCAAATGACCCTTTCACAGGGGTTACCTAAGACCATTGAAAAAAGACATATTTACATTATAATTCATAACTAGCAAAATTACAGTTATGAAGTAGCAACAAAAATAATTTTATGGTTGGGGGTCACCACAAGGAACTGTATTAAAGGGTTGCAGTATTAGGAAGGTTGAGAACCGCTGGTCTAGAAGATAACAAGGCTTATTGAGCAATCACTCTAGAGCTTTACCATTCAGGGAAGTTTGGGTATCAAGAAAGACTAGCAGGTTGACAAAAAGGAATGGAGCCCCAAGACAAGCCAAACAAATTGTATGTGTAGCTGCGGAAGAGATACATTAAGCTGGTAGCAAAATTTTCTGCGACCTCGGAAATAAAGCATTTTCACTGATAAAGACAACACCATGTTGTCATCTGCATCCTATAAAAAGCAAGATCTCAATGTCTTTTTTTAATGTGAAAACTGACAAGCCCATTCTAAAATATCTGTGGAATTGCAAAAGTTTCTAGAGAAGATGGGAAGCCTATCCCTGGCAAGTTAGCTATGTGAGATTAGCATGGCATCAGAAAAATGAATCAATAGAATAAAACAGACCGGTAGCTAAACATCTGCCCAGAAACATAGAACTCCTATAGCCTGGGAACTGGTAAAGGTCACATCTCCAGCCCTTCCTACACTTACAAAACAAGGCATCTCTCCATGGAAGAATGATGCTCTCAGACATGCCCCAGGAACCACTATGCAAATCTTCACGGTAGGCGAAGGTGTAGCTCAAGGTAGAAGGCATACACAACATGTACCAGACTCTGGTTTGGTCCACAGCTCTGCATTTTAAAAACTAGTGATGTTTACAATGTATTAGTGAAAAAGTCTCTGGACCCAGATTCCAACCAGAGAGTAGAGTCCTTTCCTCTGGAACTAACAGAAGAATACACTCGAAGGAAGCCTTACCTGGCCCTCCGAGCTAGGCCTGTAACATTTTCCAAGCTGTATTTACACGTGAAACCTTTGCCAGCCAACAGATGAGAAAAAAGGCAGTTCCAAATCTGGAACCTGGCTAAGGGCCACATGGCTGCCACTACCAGACAGACATGATCTTATAAAGGCCAACGCCAACTGTGACCTATGTGAGATGAGACAAGATGACTTCCTAAGTTTGTCTAAGCACAGAAAAATGGAAACCATGGAACAGTCCCAGCTACCATGAGGGACTGCAGCTTCTTCACTGTGTGTGGCTCAAGCCAAGTTCTACACATTTTCTCAGACTGTTTACCAGTGTTCCCATTAAGTTGTATTGCCCAATGACATCATGACAATCTTAGTTTGACGAAGTATACTTACCTTACAAGATCTCACTATGTAGCCTGGCTGATCTAATACTTACTGTCCCCCCCCC